AATCCATTTTATCCAGATATCCCAAAGTAAACTTCTTATTTTGTTTTTCTTTAATTAAGAAATTAAAATTTCGATCTTTTTATCTTCATAATTTTCAACGATTAACTTTTTTCCTTTTCAACACTCGGTATTTTTTTAAACTTGGTAATAGTAAAATTAGAAATATTTGCATTAAATAGCATAAAACTTAAGTCACTTCTTTAAATAGTACTTAAACTGTTTTATTCCATAAATAGTACTTAATAATGTCCATAATGTCCAGTGATGACGAACATTTACTTGAATAATGACTAATGGATAATGACTAAAAGTGATACATTGGGAAAAAAATACATGTGCTATTTAAAGAAAGACATTATATTTTAGTTTAAATTTCCCAATTAAAAACCTTTTCCTAAGACAAGAAGTATATTTTCCTAGGAGATAGGAGGTGATGAAGGCGAAGGAAACGGAGAGAATGACAAAGAGAAATGGAAGGTAGGAGTGTTTTTCTATCTTTTGCATGGCTCTACGTTGTTGAACAATGCAGCTAGATTATACAAAACAAAATTCTCCCATCATCCTTGCATGCATAATCTGCACGTTATTAGCAATTTGATTGATCAATGTCGATCTGATCTTTAAAATATTACCACGTACCGGACGACAAAAGAATAAATGTGATGAAAGCCTGGGAGGCAACGGTGAGGAAGACGCAGGCGGCCGCCAAGAGACGGGCCCACACAATATTCGGAACGTACGGAGGCTCCACCGTAGAGGAACTCAACGACGAGGCCATAGCCGATGTCGACCAAGATGAGCCGATCGCGGTCGTCGTGCTCAACTGCGGGCACGCAAACGGAGAGGTGTACCATGCCGACAGGTTTCTTCCGAACGGCGACTACTACACGGGGCAGTGGGCGGACGACGCCCCCCACGGCCACGGCAAGTACTGGTGGACCGACGGGTGCATGTACGTCGGGGATTGGTTCCGCGGCAAGCCGATGGGGAAGGGCACGTTCAGCTGGCCGTCGGGGGCCGTCTACGAGGGCCATTTCAAGAGCGGGTATCTGGACGGGGACGGGACGTACACCGGCCCCACCGGCGACACGTTCCGGGGATCGTGGGTGATGAACATGAAGCACGGGCTCGGCGTGAAGGAGTACACCAACGGGGACACGTACAACGGGAAGTGGTGCAGGGGGTTGCAGGAAGGGCAGGGGAGGTACACGTGGAAGAACGGGAACTACTACGTCGGAGAATGGAAGTCCGGCAAGATTTCCGGCCGGGGAAACATGTACTGGACGAACGGGAACATGTTCGAAGGGATCTGGGAAGACGGGCTGCCCGAAGGGCACGGGACGTACAGATGGGCAGACGACAGTTACTACGAGGGGAAATGGAGCCGGGACGAAAGCGAACGAACGGGGACGTTCCGCCCGCAGAATGCCGAGAGCGAATGGAACCCCGCGGAAGTTTACGACGTGGAGTTGAAGGAGTGCAAGGTGTGTCCCATAGAGAGGGTGTCGGTTTTCCCGTCTCAGAAGCTTGCGGATTGGAAGTCGGCAAACATGGCCGCGGCGAAGCACAGGAGAATGTCGGCTGACGGGAGGCTGGACGCAGCGGTGGACAAGGAGTTTGCCGGAATGAGGCTTTCGGACTGCGGGGGGACGACGCCCACCAGCATCTTCTGCGCTCCAGACGACACTTTTGTGGGTCTGCAGCAGCAGCGCGAGGATGGTGGTGGTGTGACGATGATGAGTAGAGGGGTGATGAGCCCTCTCAGGATCATTCCCAAGATTGTGAAGAAGCAAGGAGAGACTATCTGTAAAGGGCACAAAAGCTATGAGCTGATGCTGAATTTGCAGATGGGTATCAAGTAAGTTGTGGCTAGCTAGCTAGCTATGTTTTCTTAATTTGGAAACTACTAGCTAGTAAATTATTAATAATAATTAGTAATTATTAAGTTATATATTAGGCATTCTGTTGGGAAGGTAGGAGCTGCGGCGTCATTGGATCTGAAAGCATCAGCGTTTGATCCCAAGGAGAAGTATTGGTCAAAGATTTCACCCGATGGATCCAAGAGTTTATTGCCCTTTCAGTCATGTGAATTCAGATGGAAGGATTATTGTCCAAAAGTTTTCAGGTTCCAATAAGTGATAATAATTAATAATATAATCCCATCCTCTCATAATAGTTTTGTCAAACTTTGATGCTCTCTAAAATACAAATTATTAAACATAATTCGAATAAATGGGTACACATCAGGGCATTGCGGTTGTTGTTCAAGGTGGAACCCAACGACTACATCAACTCCATATGCGGAAACGATGCGCTTCGGGAACTCTCTTCTCCCGGGAAGAGTGGGAGCTTCTTCTACTTGACAAACGACGACCGTTACATGATCAAAACCATGAAGAAGTCTGAAGTCAAAGTGAGGAGATCCGATTGACATAATTATAATTAATTAACATCATATGCGTACAATTTACTCATTTCATTCATTTTCATACAATTCTTATTGTTCTACTATATATATATATATACCTGTGATATACGATGTGCTTGTCTAGGTGCTAATAAGGATGCTAAACGCCTACTACAACCACGTCCGCGGCTTTGAGAACACCCTCATTACCAAATACTTTGGGTTGCATTGTTTGAAGCTAAACGGTCCCACCCAAAAGAAGGTGACAACCTAAACTTAGCTTACTCACTTCCAAGGCCACTTCATTCATTCATTCATTTATATGTTTATTAAAAAAAATTGAAGAGAAATAAATTCTCTTCGATCATATATGTACGTGGTTAAATATAATGAGCCTCATCTCCTTGTTTAGGTGCGGTTTGTAATCATGGGAAACCTCTTCTGCACCAACTACACGATTCACAGACGATTCGACCTTAAAGGGTCAACGTTCGGGCGGTTGACGGATAAGCCCGAATCGGATATCGATTCGACCACGACTCTCAAAGATCTTGACCTCAACTTCATATTCAGGTTGCAACATCCATGGTTTCAAGACTTCCAAAGGTACCCTCCACCAAATCAAACAAGCTAATTAAGCGTTATATATATTGTTTCTACACATATACGCATATTTACGCATAGAGGAATTTACTTAAATAGCAATAAAACATAATGACTTTTCCTAAATAGCACTACATGTGTTTTTTTTTCAATGTAGCACTTTTAGTCATTATCCATTAGTCATTATTCAAGTAAATGTTTGCAATCACTGGTAATTATAGACATTATTAAGTGCTATTTAGGGAATAAAACAATTTAAGTGCTATTTAGAGAAATGACTTAAGTTTTAACGCTATTTAGTGCAAATATTTCTTTACGCATATGCAAAAATATATTCGTTCAATTGAATGTGCGCGCGCATGCATGCAGGCAAGTAGACAAGGACTGTGAGTTGCTGGAGCAAGAGAGGATAATGGATTACAGCCTTCTTGTGGGTGTCCATTTCAAAGAACCAACAAGCAGTGGAGACTCAACCCCCGTTAAAAACGGCTGCGTTTCACGTCAAGCGGATGGCGGTGCCTCAGAAGAAAGCGAGTCTCATCGTCATCAACCTGAAGAAGAAGATGATGAAAATGATGATGATGGAGTGGACAGGAGGAGGAGGAATAAAGGTGAGGTGAAGCTGGGGATAAACATGCCGGCAAGAGCGGAGAGGACGGAGCGGAAGAACGGTGAGGGGGAGTCGTCGATGGTGCAGCAGCTGGTCGGGGAAGGGACGGGGGAGTGCTACGACGTGGTGCTGTTCTTCAGCATCATCGACATACTGCAGGACTACGACATCACCAAGAAGCTTGAGCATGCCTACAAGTCCATCCAGTGTGACCCTAACTCCATCTCCGCTGTCGACCCCAAGGCCTACTCCAGGCGCTTTCGTGATTACATTTTCAAGGTCTTTGCAGAGGATAATTAATGCTTGAATATATATATATAATTAATGGAGGCATTTCATCCATTCCTCCGCCATTTTTTGCTTTCTCTTTCTTTCTTCTTGTGTTTTGTTTTGTAATTATGTATGCAAATAGGCCATGTTGATTTTTTTAGAGGCATATGCATGCATGATTGTATATATTACTCCCTCCGTCCTCAAAAACACTTCCTCTTTCATTTTTTTCACTTCCAACAAAACACTTCCCTTTTCTATTAAAAAACCACTTTTACCCTTACTTTTTCATACCATACCTATCACATCATACTTTTTTTTTAATAATCTATCCATCACATCTTACTTTTACCCATCACATCAGGGGCAAAATTGGAAATCAACTATAATTTAACACTTCCTTATTTTTGCCCCAAATCCAAATGCGAAGTGTTTTTCCAAACGGAGGGAGTATTAATTACTCCAATCATAGTTGAGCTCCATTCCTTCGGAGCCTGCATAATATATATCTATCTTAGTTTCAAGCATTAACCTCTAAACTACTTCGGTTGAAAGGAGGAAAAAGGAAATATAATATTTCAAATGTTTTGTTTGATGAAGATATGAAGAAGAATTGCTCTTCCACTTATGAGGCCATGTGTTATGGTAGGAGCTTGATGGTGTGTAAAGTGATAAAAATGTGTATGTTATGATGGGTGTAAATATGTTTAAAAGTTTAATTGTTTTCGTGGAAAAATGAAAATTTAAAAACAAAAATTATTCCAAGATTAGAGTGGATGAAGATATTCTATAGCGCTCGGCCACTCCCACTGGACATTAGCTAGGACCAAACACACGATCACTACACATTTACTTGGGTGCATTTCAAGTCATCCAACTCAACCAAACTGAACGAAATGCTTTATTCTTTGCAAGTAATTCACGAAGGTAATGGTAAGTCAGAACATTCTTGTTCTATTTTATTTGAACAAATAGTCCTACCAGTGTTGTTATAAAAAGGGAGTTGAGCCAATTTTACAAATTCCAGGTGGCCCGAAAATTTGGGCACTTCATTCAAAAAGAATTGCAACACAAAATTGTATAGTAATGGTGCAAAAAAGATCTCAGCGAACTAAGAGTAGACATAGCAAATTAAAGAGAAGCTGCAAATATAATACTCGACCCGTATGGTAAACACCAACAAGAACACGAGTCTTCAAATATTGAAAAACAATAGTACAGTGCAAACAAGGCAATATCCCAAACCAGTAAAAAGTAGAAACAAAATGCATAAGGAGTGTGTAACGGTGTACTCCGTTTTTATTTTCCCCACCGAAAATCATAGCTATAGCCATGATTTTACTTTTTTGTTTTCCTTAAATCCTTCACATAATCTTTTTTTTTTTGGTACGAAGGATGTCATTGTACTATATGAAAGCAGACCTGAGGCGCGAGAACCACCAGACAGTGCGCTGTACCGTTCTCCCCTCTACCCGTAACCACGCATCCTTGAGGCAGCAAACCTTATTATAAGCTGCAGAAGCAGCTACGTTTGCCCAAACTTCCCTTCCATTTCAATTCGCTTCCAGCTTTGAACCATAAAAGTATTGATACCATAAGAAATTGAACTATACATAGTGGCTCGGTTACCAATTCTTGTACCCCTATTGGTTAATGCCACAACCTCCATTCACCAAGTCTGGAAAGCTAGGCACCAGCTGCATGTAAGCAAAGACAAGGGCACACATAACACATCGCTTACATGTTCTTATTTTTAGAAAATAAAAATTGAAAATACTGTTCAGTTTGAAATATTACTTATGCAAATCTCCTAACAACCCCAGACTATGTTTATTGTTTAGAAAATAAGAGATGGTAGGGTAAAGACAAAAGGCTAAGGGAAGTGTTTTTCTTTTTTCATTTTCTTTTTTTTTTTGGGTGGTAAAGGCCAAAGGGAAGGAAATCAAATTTGATTACAATGTTTAAAATCTACAAGTTAGGCCCAGTTTGGGAATAATGTTAGAGATTAGCCTTAGCATTTTGAAAAGACTATCTTCTAGCAGCGTTTAGCGTTAGCATTTTCAAAATAATCTGCACCGTTAAAATTTTATCCAAAACGCTAATGCTAATCTGTAATGCTATTCCCAAAACAGGCCCTTAGTTTGTATAAAAGAAACATTTTCGTAAAAAGAATTCAAACAAAACATCTAAAACTGATGCTATGACTAAACCCATTTTTCCCAAAAAAAAATTCTTTTCATTCCCAACTCTCCCCTATTTTCCTTCTTATTTCTCATCCCTAGCATTTTTAGAGTTCCAAGCGGACACATGAAAAAGAAGAAGCAAGCAAGCAGTGATCAGTTATGTAATGAATGCATTAAAGCAAGTAGATACCTCTTCCACAGCAAGTGCCCGCAACAATCCAAGACCATCCATGCAGCATAAAAAACTTTTAGTAACACAATCCAAACTGCTAACATGATGGCCGAACTTCATAGCAACTAAACATTTGACATTCAATGTCGCAAGTGCAAAACAGTAAATAAGCAAAAATAGGTGAGTATAGATCATATTACGAGAAATTAATGCTACAAACAAAACAGAAATTGAAAAAAAAAAACCATTATTGTTGAGCTTACCATCTAAAATCCAATATTCGCCTCACACGAAGAAACGACCACCTTCCCACAGAGACTGTTCCTGATACTGCTGGGGCAATGCTGCAGTCTGTTGATTTCCTCTCCGAAGTTGTTGCTGATGTTGTTCCTGGTACATTTTCATTTGCTCGGACATTTGCAAGTCTGGCCAGCCATTTTTGTTTTCCGTCTGGGGATACATTGATGGCAATTGTTTACCAGGGAAGGGAAAGCCAACCATGCCCATAGAGTTACTGTTGCTATTGTTAGCAAGATGATATTGATGCATTGAATGGTCAATGATAGAACTGTTGAGTCCTATATCTGGGATAGTTGAAGGTAACTGATAGCCATCAAGCCACCTATAGTCATCAATAGGAGTGTGTGTATGTTCATAATTCAAGCTCATAGCTGAGGATGAGTCGTCAGTTGCTTTAAAAGCAACTGAACCAAAACCAGGAGGTGGGCCCAAGTGTCTAATAGGACGAGTCACTGGATTTTTCTTTGTGCCTGTTGAGGCAATTGACACTGGCCTCGATGATGTACAGTCCAAACCAGGAACTGGAATTGAATTTAACTTGGTTTCTAGATAACCCTCGAAAAGCTGGACGGGATTATTAATGTTATTACTATCATCAGCACTTGTAAAACTGATAGATTGTGGAAAAGGCACTGAATATGCAGCATCTTGGGTTACTCGAGAATAATCTTGCAGGTCAAGTTTAGTACACCCATTTTCCTTTAAATTTAAATTTGCCAAACCATTGGAGAAGCCACTTTGTCCCAATGACCACATGTCACAATTTGATTGGTTGAATGACACATGTTGGGCATCACTATTGGCATCACATGAAGGAATAGGATTAAAACCACTTTGCAGGAGTCTATCAAAACCAGATGACAAAACAGATCCTGTATTAATGCCAGCATTAGCACCGAGAGATACAGGAGTATGTGCTGTAGTCATATTTGGAATCAACCCATCTGTGAGATTTTCACTTATGGCTGGCTGGAACACAATCACCTCATCTTCATCTTCTTCTCCACCTTGGGTGCAAGCCTGATTATTAGGTGGCAATGCACCAACCACAGGAATTGGGTCCTCCAGTTTGTTTTCAACCGCTTTTGAAATTTCTGAGGTATTAGCTGGCCAATAATCATCAGACATTTTTGTCTTAGAGCCAATAACAAACTTCCTTGACTTTGTGTCGAAGTAGACTCCATACTGCCCTACCCTAACCACATTAGCAAGAGCCTTCCCAGCTGCAACAAGCCTCTGGATCCTCACTTTCCTTCCTTTACTACCACCATCACCACCCAATGAATACGATCTTGAGAAGTCAAGTATAAGCTGTGCAGGAACAAGAGGAAGAAATCCTCTAAGTTCAAAGTCCTCAGGCAATGCAAGACAATTACCAGTCTCAGCTTCATCATACTTGCTCATTTTGAAGAAACATGTCTCATCCTCATCCTCATCTATGAACTTTGACCCACTGGACAGTAACTTATTTAAAAATGTGACACAGTTGCTCCAGAAAAAAGATCTAGCTTTTGCTTGTGTTTCTCCTGGCTCATTACCTACTGCAATATCTTCATGGCAGGCTAACCATTCTACAAAAACCATAATACCTGGCAGTAGGTAGCTTGCTGCTGGTTCATTTAGCTGACCACACCTCTCAACCACATGGCCCATGAACTCAAAAACAGCAGTATATGCATTCTGTAAAAGAACAGGGCGCTGAAGAATCTCAGCATATGATTGGTTTTCAGCTTCCCGATTCACATTGTACACTGTGAATATGAGGATAGCAACAAGCCTAACCACTGCAAGCCTGCATTCAGCATCATCCAAACCAAAACTGCACTTCTCGTCCGGTCCAGAACAAAGAAGCTCAAGTAAGTCACTTTTAACCACAGAGAGGACTTCTCCAAATGTCTCCAAGCTGTTGAAAGATGGTAGACAAATGTCAAAATATAAGGACACGTCAAATAGAATACCCTCATCAATAGTGAGCCAATGAATATACCTCGTGCGCGTAAATAAAATCCCATTTAACCGGACAAATCTTGTGCTGAAAACTTTGAACACATCATTTAAACTTGATGCTCGAACCTTTGCAGGATGAGGATCAGCTATTTCTTCTTTTTGTGGAAGCCTTGGGTCGCCCTTACCTCTTCCTTTCACAGCCCCTCGTACTAGAGGGGCCTTGACGGTGGATCTAGCATCGTGCAAAAGCTGTAAGTACTTCTGGCGATTCTGCGAAAGGGAAAAAACACATTTAATCATATAATGCTGTCACAAGATCAGTCCATCCATTCATGCACATACAGTATCAATGCATCATGCAAATCTGGGAGATGAAAATTATAGGAATAAAAGAAATATCATTAACGGCATATAACAATCTTCTGCAAATATTCTACTTTTATACCACAACGAGCAACTCAATTTATTAGCAAATCAGTTTATTTGCTGAAATGATAAAGTTAACAGCAGAATTTTACATACAAATACCAGCCTGAAGATATATCAGTAGTACGCTTACCCTCTCAAATGCAATAATCAAATTGTCCCTGGCAGTGTTGAGAACCGGGATCTCAGCAGAAAGACTTCGAAAATATCTATAGGTTGCAACCAATTCATCACCACAGTAGTTAGCCAAGATAGCAAGCTGAGAAAATTAACATTTCGTTAGTCACCAGAAACCATATGAGGCGGGTACCCAAGGGAAGTGGGTGAAACTAGCTAGCTGATTCAATAACTGGAAATTATTAAAGACACCAAGACATGTTGCAGTCAAAATAGAAAGGAAGCAGAAAGAACCTGGTGATGAGGACTTCCACTTGCAGGCCAAAGAGAAGAAGCTTGCATGTAATAGCTTGATGCAGCTGAAAAGTCCAGGGCTTTAGAATCACCTTCTCCATACAAACTTTTGTAACGAGCAAGATCACCAAGATAAATAAGACATTGGTGGCAGGATATTCTGCAGTTCTTCATGTCAGCAGAATTGCTTCCATCTTTAGATGACATAATTTTATTTTCAGGATCATCAGAAAAATATCCTAGTGGAAGGCCATATTTTGCCCTGATTTTCAACATCAAGTCATGGTAAAATCCTGTTGCTTCTGACAGGAACATCTTAAATTCCATGCGAATCTTTGTGACCTGATCAGGGCCCTGGCCACCTCGCACAAGACCTTTACCATTTTCAGATTTGGCAGGTCCCAGAGCAGATAAAGCAGCATTCAAGCATGCACGCAATTCCTCGATTCTCCTGTGATGCAACTGCCACAATTTATGCTCTATTTCGTGGCGCTTAGAAAAAGCATGATTCTCAAGGATAATTGCTTCATAGTTTTCACGCATGTGTTGCCATGCATTATGGTCAGGAGCTCTGTCCTGTGCTGCTTTCTTAAGCTTATTCTCTAATTCAACATTCTGAAAAGGACGCATTTGTTGCCGTGCATTATGGTCAGAAGGAGTTCTGTCCCTTGCTGCTTTCCTAAGCTGAATATTTAATTCAACATTCTGAAAAACATTAACAAATATTACCAATGGCTTAATATTCTATAAGCATACTAATTAACATCCATGTATAGCAATGCAATAATACCTTTTCAAGGAGGCGTTGAGCACGCTCTAGAGACAAATGGTCAACACTATTATCCATCGGAATGGTCATTATCCATCAAGAGATAGAATTTTTAAGCACAGAATTCAGTGATAGACACAACACAACTCTTTCTGTAGGAGAATTTTTCTGATTAGCTTCAAATTGAAAGAGCATAGCATAGTCTAGCTCATACAACTTACTCTAGAAAGTACAAAAAACTATAGCATAAAACATAATCAAGAGCCACTACTTTCTTTTCTGCAGTGGTATGCACAAAAAACAGCATTATAATTTGATAAACAAGCACAGCCTCAACTCCAACCCTGTCTTACCTCCTTCTCTAATGGACAAAAATAATGTTGGCATACCCGTTTCTGTACACATTTATTGGATAAAACAAAATATGAATAGCTAAAATCAAACAACGGTAAGTGTTTCTTAGGCAAAAATGCACTTAGCTAGTTCATGTTAATTTGTTTGGTGTTTTCCACCTCAAGTTGACAATAAACATGTTTCTATTTATTTCCTCGAGCATACAACATACCACCGTGCATGATCTTTAAAAACCAAGAAACCAATTAACAATATCCATTTTGTATGCAGTATCCTCCAATATACAGTATCTTCCTACATGATGTATGTTGCAATACGGACATATAATAGCCTCCACTTCTTAATATGTTTATTCAATTGTTTAAAAAAACTCAACCCACCCAGCCACTCCGGTCAATCGGGATCCGACTTGCCCAATTTAGGGTATTCTGATCAATTTTGAACGAAATCTATCAAATTTCTTCAAAACATTCATTGAAATTTAAAAGCCCTAAATTAATTGCAGAAATAGTAAAACCCCCAAATTTCAATACGTGAAGAGAAAAAGGCATCAAACCTCTCTTTCCTTAAAATTGATCAAGAAAAATGATCCAGAAGTTGAGTCGTGGATAAACATACCTAAATCAAAGGCAGATCTGCAAGATCCCGACGGTATTACAGCGAGATCCTCACCGATTCCGTCAATTTCAGTCAGAATGGATATGCGGGCAAGGGTGAGGCCATATACGGGAAGAACACGAAGGGGGGGAACTAGGGTTTGGGAAATACTGAAGAGATATTCATAAAACCATGACAGGAACGCGAAGGTGAATCGTAGTTCCAGAAGGAGAAGGGAAACGAGAGAGAAGTTTTCGTTGAATGAAAAGCATCGGCGAGCTGCGGGAGGGCTTCCGTTATGACGGGTCGGAGTTATAAGGGCGAAGTCTAGGCGGCTATGACTCACGGTGCCCAAAAGTCTTATCTCACGCAAAATTCTTTTGGGTCTTTAATTAATGCTTTCATTGCTTTGCCCATTGCTTAAAGGAGAGAAAATAAGACCATGCCTAGTAGTTAGGGGGGTAAACGAACTGAATCGAAGCAAATACCAAGAGATTTGAATTTGTATTTGTTTAATTTTTCGAATACGAATCCGAATCCGAATATGAGACGAATTCAAAATAAGATTTGAATAAGTATTTGATTAATATTCGAATAGTTATCGAATCTCAAACGAATATTTGAATAATCATACTATGTCATTTATATGATGGACCAACATCGATTTGTAATTTAACTTACGATACTCCTTATAATATACTATATTCCGTATCTAAAAACATTAATACATTTGCATCTTACACAAATTATATTTTATAAAATATAACTATTAAAAATCATATGCTTAGATTTTCGTGTGACGTTAATTTATTAAATTCTTAGTAATTTAAATACACTTTATACTATATTACTTTGCTTGACTTTTGATGTTGAAAACATGGTCTGTGTATATATACATATATTCGAATATTCGAATATCATCCGAATCGAATATATCCCTATTTGTATTTGTATTTGTTTAACATTCGAATCAAAAATAATATTTGAATTTGAATTTGAATAATGCGAATTCGAATCATTATATTCGAATACAAATCACGAATCGAATTTAAAATATTTGATTTGTTTACATCCCTACTAGTAGTAATTAATGTAGAAGGCTCTGTTCTGTACGCCTGATCTGATTGAATCTGATCTGAATTTTTGAAGTTCTGATCTGATCTGATCAGATTAGATCTTATCTGATCTGATTGGATCTGATCTGATTTGATCTGATTTGATCTGATTGGATCTGATCTGATCTGATTGGGTCTGATCTGATTGGATCTGATCTGATCTGATTGAATCTGATCTGATCTGATAGGATCTGATCTGATTGGATCTGATTTTCTCTAATTAGATCTAGTGTAATGAATTTAAATTTGATTTAAGTTAAACTTAAAATTATTACAAAATTTAATAGTTTTAAAGTATTACAATTTATATATACATAAAAAAAAGTATAATAAGAAAATCAGCTAATTATTGATATGTTTAAACTTTTTTTAAAAATATTAAAAATCTTTTCAATATCACAATTTTTTAATTTTTGTGAAAACTAAATAATCGGTATTAAAATAACCAAATATTAGAAAATATTGATGCTATTCTACAAAAATATCACATTCTATATACATATTACATAATAATATATTTCATGTTACAAATTAAAGATCATATAAAATTTTAAACACTAATATCCCTTTCACCTCTATCAATTTTGTCATAAACTCACCCTTGTGTATATTATACCATCTTAAAGTTTAAAAGCAAGTCTTTTTAAGTATAAAATATTTATAGTTTTGAAAACTAAGTTTTGTATAATTATTTTATAAAAAAGTATTTTAAAATAACTCTTTTTAAAGTATGAAAAATAAAATTTGTTAAGCTTTAACATTGCTTCCATGCATCATTTCTATCCTATAAGCTAAACAATTATTAAAAATAATGGTTTGTGGTTGAAATATAACAATAACAATAATAATAATAATAATAATAAATAATAATAATAATAATAATAACGACAATAACAATAATAATATAACAACAATAATATTTAAAATTATAATATTAATTAAGATTTAGGTGTGTGTAGTTTTAAATAAAGTAATGTGATTTAATCAAATAATAGTAATTATTATTTAATCCTTGAAAAATATAAATATTATCTTTTATATTTTTTCTTGATTTGATATTATTGGATTTGATTTAGTCTGATCTGATCTGATTGGATCTGGTCTGATCTGATTGGGTCTGACCTGATCTGATTGGATCTGGTCTGATCTGATCTGATTGAATCTGATCTGATCTGATTGGGTCTGATTTGATCTGATTAGGTTTGGTCTGATCTAATTTGATCTGATTTTGATAAGAATAAGTAATAAGTAGAAAAAATAAGTCCTACGGAACGGACCCGAAATCACCTTAAATAGGACTAAAACATAAATAAAAGTACCAAAATAGGATTTTCATGTTTTTTTTCCCAAAATAGGACTTTGCACTGTGGTAATGTGACTTTGCCATGTGGTAATGTGGCAGTGTACATGTGCAAATTACTATACGTTTTTGGTAATGTATATAACCATGTATGGTAATGTAAGTCCTATTTCAGGAATAAAAACATGAAAGTCCTATTTTGGTATATTTTCAATGTTTTAGTCCTACTTTGGTCTTTTTTCATATTTCATGTCATTTCAAACCCCCTCATGTCACTAAACTTATTTTGAGTAAAACAATTATGTAGTAATTCATGTCATTTCAATCCCCCTCATTAATTATTCAATGATTAATAATTTCATTTTTTATACAGAGTATTCAACTATTATTAAAATAAAAATGAAAACTTAAAATTAAAAATGTAGTGTGTATCGCTACTTCTTTGAAGTATTCTCCCTTACTAAATTGCCAAAGCACAGAAGCTAGGTCCGGATCATTATCGGAGTCGTCTGAAATAGTCGGCTACCGTTTAGAGTCCTCGGCGCTAGTTAAGGGAGGAACTTCGATTTCCCCTGACCCTCCCCCCACCTCAGTCCCCCACCGGTTAGATAGAGGATCATATATGTTCGTCGCTGGTGCACAGGGTTGGTGTACAGATCTAGCCGCTGCTGTTACTGTGTTTGCCATAGGTCAAGGAAGTTGTTCGCCACTGTTGTTGCTCGAGCCTAGGTCATAAGCAGATGTCGTTGTCAGTCATAGAGGAGCCTAGATATGAATTTGTTGCTGGTGGAGCCGAGAAGTGTTTAAATATAGCCTTGCTCGTGATTTGTTCACACTAAATGCAAGTTTAACAGGTTTCACACTTTAGGGGGAGCTTGTGTGTGGCGTGAAGCAGCGTCAATTTCCACCATCATAGCAGAGAGTCCACGCCTCACGCGGAATGTCATTCAAGTACTTTTATGCAGCTTATTTGCGTTCCTTATTTCTGCCAAATGTAACATGTCATCTATTCTAGGACCATCTATCTCTCTCCTTATCTCTCTTTCTCTTTCCAGATCATCCATTTTTGCACTACAAAAATAAAATAATAAAAAACTAAATTTTTTTATTCTTAATTTTTAGTGATTACAAAATTCATTAAAAAACATCTTCATAATTTCAAAAAAAAACATATTCATAATTCTTTAAAACATTTTCATAAATTTGAAAAAAATTTAAAAAAATCATAGAGCACATAGTTGAGAATATATAAACAAAATCTTAATAAATCAAATAAAATAGAAACAAATAAAAACATAACATTTATAATCAATATTATTAATATCTAAAAGCTAAGTGAAATATAAGTAATAAAAAATTATGTGGCAAATGTTGAATATTATGTAGTGTGAAAATAAGATAAATTTGAAGAGTAAGTAGAGTTAAAGTGATTGGGGAAGGATGGTGGTCAAATAAGATATATTAGTGATTATTAAGAAGATGAAGGGGTGAGTGAAGTTGGATGGTTGGGGAAGGTTGGTGGTTGTAACGTGTGGGCGTGAGGAAAGTTGAGTTAAAGTGGATATCTTGAAAAGTGAAAAAGGTGGAGTTAAAGTGGATCATTATTTTGCATGTAGTACATGCCAAACAATTAAAAAATAAATCCGCATGTATTACACACTATTTTTCTGCAAACTTTACTGACGATTTGACATATCTTTTAAAAAATGTTTTTTTAATATTCGTATGTACTACGTGGCTTCTGAGGAATTTCAAGTTCCAGTCTAGTAATTAAAAAGTTTCTTTTTTCCAACTGAGAGAAACAACCATGTAACGTGTGGGTACGAGGAAAGTGGAGTTAAAGTATATTTCATGTAAAATGGAAAAGGTGGAGTTTAATTGGACCATTAATTTCGCATGCAGTACATGCAAAAGTATTAAAAAATAAATCCGCATGTATTACACGTGATTTTTTTACAAACTTTACTGACAATTGGACATTTTTGCATCACTCAATGAGAGCCGTGATTAAACAATGGTCAAATCTAATAGGGTGCACACGGTGTACCCATAAAATCCAGCCCTCTGTAAGTTTTGGAGAACCCTGGGCTCATGAAAAATAGTAGAGATGCGACTATGATATCGCACTGAAATTAGTTCATTGTCACAAAACTCCTTATGTTTCTATACTCAACTAGAACGATGAGTATTCTACAAATGTAACATGTCATGTATTCTAGAGCCATCTATCTCTCTCCATCTCTCTTTCTCTTACCTGATCATCCATTTTTGCACTACAAAAATAAAACAATAAAAAATTAAATTTTTTTATTTTCAGTTTTTAGTGAATACAAAAATCATTAAAATATCATCTTCATAATTTCAAAAAACATTTTCATAAATTCTTTAAAATATTTTCATAAATTTGAAAAATTTGAAAAAAATCATAGAGCACACAGTTTAGAATATACAAACACAATTTTAATAAATCAAATAAAAATGGATACTAATAAAAACATAACATCTATAATCAATATTATTAATATCTAAAAGCTAAGTGAAATATAAGTAAAAAAAACCTGAGAAATGTTTAATGTTATGGAGTAGTGTGAAAATAAGATTAATTTGAAGTGTAAGTGGATTTAAAATGATTGAGGAATGATGATGGTTAAAATAAGATACTCTAGAGTATATTAGTGAATATTAAGAAGATGAATGAATGGGTGGAGTTGGATGGTTGGGGAAGGATGGTGGGTCTAACGTGTGAGTGGAAGGAAAGTGGAGTTAAAGTAGATTTCTTGAAAAGTGAAAAAGGTGGAATTAAAATGAATCATTAATTTTACATGTACTACATGCAAGATTATTAAAAAATAAATCCTATATATATATATATGTAAAAGAGAGTTTAGTTGTTGCAATGTTGACATGTGGCATGCCACATGTGCATCCACATGTGCACCCATTTATGAAGTGGATATATGCATTGCACCTATTTTAAATATCTTTTAATACATTTGTATAAAATTTTTCATTCTTTAATAATTCTGAATATATATTTCACCATTGTAAAATAAACTTCGTATTTTGAGTACACACACATAAAATTATTTTTATACTATCCACGGCTTATTTTAGTTTATTACTTCTCGAAAAATGANAAACAACTAAAATTATATTTATAAAATCTCAAAAAATAAGAATATATACGAGCCCGTGCGAAGCACGGGGTAAACACTAGTCTACATGTATTACACACGTTTTTTATGCAAAGTTTTCCGACATTTCTGCAAATTTTTTTGGGAGCGTCTAAAATGACACCAGTTACTTATGCACCACTCGCTTATACCAGTTTATTTGGGGTACCTACGGTGCCCCGTTTGTAAAAATGACGGTTCCTACCCCGCTAACCCTCCCCCTAAACCCCCCACCCCAGCCCCACCCTTGCCCTCCTACCCCAGCCCCCCCTCCCTACCATGGCAGTATACTGCCTGGTATTGCCAGGGCAGGGAGGGAGGAGGGAGGAGGGGCTGGGGTAGGGGGACAAGGGTGGGGCTGGGGTGGGGGGTTTAAGGGGAGGATTAGGGGGGTATAAACCGTCATTTTTACAAACGGGGCACCGTAGGTATCCTTAACAAACCGGTGTAAGCAAATGATACCAGTAGCACAATTATTCTTTATAACATTTGTACATTTCAAGTTCCAATTTAGGAATAAAAAAAGAAAAATTTACCTAAATATGACTAAAAAATAATGACTTTCCCAATATAGGATCATATGTTTTTATTTCCCAATGTAGGACCTTTGATCATTATTAAGTAGTCATTATTCAACTAAATTTCCATCCTTACTAGACATTATTCCTTCCACTAGGTCATTATTAAGTCTTATTTAGAGAATAAAAAAGTTTAAGTCTTACATTAAGAAAGTCATTATGTTTTAATCCTATTAATGCAAATTTCACATAAAAAATGTCTTTTTTCCAACTGAGGAAGCGACCGATTGAGACTGGATATCATTTCACTTCTATAGTTCGATCCAAAAGTCTTTTCTTTTTCAAATTCTTTTGTTTCAGGTTTTCAAACACATCCCATTTCTTAACAAATTTCAGAACCTCTGTTTGCTCACCAAATGCTCTTTTGGTTGAATCTCCCGCGTTAAAGACAACGCGTCTTGTGTCCTTAACCATGAGAACCCCAATCTCATTGGCCTTTATTTTGAAGATCAAAACTCATTTCTGTTGGGTTCCAGGATTCCACTATTCATCTTCTACCCTCTATCATGGAAAAAATATCAAGCACCTTAGGGTCACACATGTACTTCAAGAACCGTTAACGTGGGTTGAAATCCATTCTCTGGGTGGAACCAAGTCTCTTCATTCGCTCATCAAACTTGTTTCCACCGTGGAACAACCAGTTTTCGAAACTTTCAACAATGTATTGTCCAAGTACGTGTCTTTTGGGAATGTGCATGTCGCTAGGGAGTTGTTTGATGAAATGCCTCATAGAAACGCAGTGTCTTACAATATGATGATTGCTGCTTACAGTCGATATGGGGATGTAAGTGAGGCTTGGGAGCTGTTTTCTGAGATGAGGAGGTTTGGATTTGAGCCAACTCAGTACACATTTGGGGGGCTGTTGTCGTGTGAGTTCTTGGACCATCATCGAACAGCACAATTGCATGCTCTGATTGAAAAGACACCATTGCTGCATATTGATGCTTTTGTAGGGACCGCATTATTGTCTACACTTGGGAGATGCGGATGTTTGCATGAGGCCTGGCAGGTTTTTGAGAGCATGCCTAGAAAGAATTTGGTCACATGGAATTCTATGATTCTATTGCTGGGAAAACATGGATTTGTTGAAAATTCCATGAAATTGTTCATTGAAATGCTTAGGGGTGGAATGGATTTGTCTGAGTACACATTTGCTGGCCTTCTGCCCTGTTTTGTTGGGTCATCTAGTATAGAATTAGGAGAACAGGTGCATGCAGTTGCACTGAAGCATGGCTTGGTCATTGCGGTATCAGTTAAGAATTCTCTAGCTAACATGTATGTGAAATGTTCTTGTGCACAAAATTCATATAAAATGTTTGAGGAAGGGACAGTTAAGGATACTGTTTCGTGGAACATAGTAATTGGTGCAATGGCAAACAGTGACACGCCGGAGAAAGCATTGATTGCTTTCTCGAAAATGTGTCTGAATGGATTCTCTCCAAATGAAATAACTTTCATAAATGTTCTTCATTCCTGTGGTAGGTTAAAGAATCTATCACTCGGAGAAGCTTTTCATGCACAGATTATCAAGAAAAGGCATGTCATTGATGTGAAAGTTGGCAGTGCAATGTCAGGCTTCTATGTTAAATGTGATAAATTGGAAGACGCACATCGTTGTTTCAATGAAATATGTGAGAAGAATATAGTTTCTTGGAACACGTTGATGCTAGGATATTCAAATAGGGGATCTCCTGATTCTATTTTGCTTTTGCTGGAAATGATTCGTCAAGGTTGTTATCCCAATGAGATCTCATTTTCTATTGTTATAAAGGTGTCACCAGTGGCAGAACTACTGCAGATTCACTCATGGTTGGTAAAGACGGGTTACCTTGATTATTCTTATGTATCGAGCTCTCTTATATGTGGATATGCCAAAAATGGGTTAATAACTGATGCTTTGAACTTCTTAGCTGTTAATGACATGCCACTCAATGTTGTCTCGACTAATGTGATGGCAGGAGTATATAACAGAGCTCGTCAGTACGATAAGACTGTGGAGTTGTTTTCTATACTTGAAGATCCTGACATCATATCTTGGAATATTTTGATTGCAGCTTGTTCCCGAAATGGTGATCACAAGGAGGCTTTTGAATTATTTGGACACATGCAGAGAGCTTGCGTCTTTCCTGACAATTACACATATGTTAGCCTATTCAGCAGTTGCACTGTACTTTGCAACTTAGGTTTGGGAAGCTCTCTTCATAGCTTACTTATTAAGAACAATTTTAATTCTTGCGACACATTTGTGTGCAATGTCATGATTGACATGTATGCAAAATGTGGAAGCCTTGGTAGTTCGATAAAGATATTTTTTGGCATCACCATAAGGAATGTTTTTTCATGGACAACTATTATTTCATCACTTGGCCTACATGGGTATGCTCACGAAGCAATAGAGAAATTTGAAGAGATGATAAAGGATGGTATAATGCCGGATAAGGTGGCCTTCATGGCAGTTCTTTCAGCTTGTAGGCATGCTGGGTTAGTTGAACAAGGGATGTCATTGTTTAGGGAAATGAATTCCAAGTATGGGGTTGAACCGGAAATTGATCACTATGTAATTGCTGTTGATTTGTTATCGAGATACGGTCATCTTGTAGAGGCTGAAGAATTTATTGCTAGGATGCCTTTCCCTCCCAATGCTTTGATATGGCGTACATTCCTTGATGGCTGCAAGAGGAAAAGAGCTATGTTGAGCTTTAAAAGCTGTTAGTTTCACATTTTAGAGATCTGTGCAACTTTTTGAAAGAGTTTACCACAACCCACAACAGGAAATTCTTAATATTCTATGTTCTTGCTGTGAAGGTATGCCTATTAATTATTATTTTTTAATATAAAAAATGTATTCTCATACTGCAACTTCAGATTTGTGTCGACAATTGCTACTGTTTGATCTTCTGTGTTTTATTAATAGTTTCAGTTTGGTATTTGATTAAGTTATTTTAACTATTTTAATGACAGATACACAATGGACGATTTTGGCATTTCATACAGCAACATTACAACAACAACACAGTTGAATCCCCCAAAAGTAGGGTCTGGGGAGGGTGTGTGTTTGTAGACCTTACCCCTACTCAAAAGTAGAGAGGTTGTTTCCAAAGAGACTCCCGGCTCAAGCACCACAGGTAATCACATACGCAGCTTGACCCCTATGTTTAAAGATGACCGATGATGAGCGCCGCAAGTTGCATTGACTAAGTGCTACTTCACTATTATAAGAAGCGCTGACAGTTTAAAGAGTCATTTTGCTTTATTCCATCTTATGCCAAAGCCAAAAAATAGTGAATCTTTGGCTCCATTGGAGAATTGGAGATGATGGAAATTTTTCTTTGCATTTCATCAGTATATTATTTTCCCTTCCGAATATTCACACTGTTTTTTGAAATTTATGAATTTACATACTTGGTAATGGTTCTCAAATTAATATTTTGACTTTTTATTTTCGCATGAGCAGCCTTTGCAAGAAGAGACTAGTTGGAAAAGGTACAGTATATGCATATTTTAGAAGCATTGGTATTTCGCCAGATAGCACTATGTATACTAATCTTATACATGCTTTGATTTAAGGATGATATTCTTTTTCGGTAGACTGGTTGTTAAGGGATATGTGTGGGAAAAGATTGAGGCCATAGATTATGTAAAGAAGAAAATTTCACGTTTGACCCCGAGCTAAGGTATCATACACACGAAAATGGGATCAACCGGAATGGTGGAACTTACAGAACCAAATAGGAGGCTACACTTACCTGACAAAAGTTTTCTGAAAATGCCTCATTGTTGCGTAATGTTATGGCAAGGAAGAGGAGAAAGATCTGAAATTTTGAATTAGTTAACTGTGTGCGGTGTGCCAAATCATTATAGGCACAGTTGATCTGTCACATTATCAAGGTATGAACCACATAAATAAAATTCACTGTTTGCAATGATCGTGGTTGTGAAGTTATCCCTCTTTGCTCTTATACTTACACTTTCATTACAGAAATCAGATTTCTGAGCAGATTATTAGCAAATAGCAATGAATGATTTTTTTCCTGGGTGACCTTTAAGTTAGTCCTACTTCAATATCCGAGACATAGGAAGTGTTGGTCAAAGAAAAAATGTTACATCCTCTATATGGGGTCTGGGTGATGGATTACCAAATGCAAGGTAAAATTATTACCTTGCATAAATTGTAATCATCTGTTAGTCCATTACGAGCTTCATTGTTTGCTTCGATTGTCGGTTATGCATCTGGATGTGTTGTCCTCTTGCACTCTATTGGGGATTTCTTTAAGGAAACTAGATTTCTGAGCGGATCTTAGCAGCACTAGAATATCTCCCTAGATGTCATTTAAGCAGGACCATAAAGCTGAGGTTGTATCTTTGAATATTTATAGATTTGAAGAAACAGAGGATGGTTCTTATGCGTGAGCCAAATATAGCTATTCTTTGGGGAGAATCAGTGGCTGGAAGAAAGGAATACACACACTTGCACCTCTTGACCAGAAATGAGGAAAAATGGATTGCCCACACGGGAGGAACATTTGGGTAAGTATCAACACATGAATATATTCAATATAAACAATTTTTTGTTTGTTTTTTTGAGCACATAAACTCGATGAAGAAAATACATTACTTTTGAAGCTCAGGAATTGTTCAGGAACTTGCATTTTTTCCAAGATTCACTCTGTTTTATTTCTGATGTTATTCGAGTGGTATCTTTGAGGTTAGCTAGCATATAGGGATTTTCTTGAATTTGTTAATATTTTAAAACCATGTAATTGAAAAATGTTTCACAGTATCTTTTGCCACCATTCTTGATGTTTTGTATTTTCCATCAATGCAGATAAAGGAAACAAAACAAAACCTAATAATAATATTTTTGAATCAATTCTATGTATGTATAAATTTGTGCTGATCTCTTAAATTTGCTTAACAATTTGTCATTTCCAAGAGATAAATTTGAGTCTCATGAAGTTTTTTTTTTCTTTTTTGCTTCCATACGAAAAAAGAAAATACATGTGCAATTTGCACTCATCTATAAAGTGCAAAATGTCATAAATATAAGTTAACATATTGAAATTTGTTTCATTTGTGACTCTGTTCATGCTTCATTAGTTTAATTAATCGAGGCCCATTCTGTATCGATAGTGCTAGAATGAATGTCAAGTGCAAATACCACTTCTATTTTCTTACTCCATATTATTCTTCCACTTCTATTTTCTTTCTCTCGATTTCCTTAATAACACTCATTCTATTCCTTAAAGTGGTAACACTATGTTACCACATAGTAGAATATATGGTAATGCTTTTATTACCTAAAGTCTAAAAGTTTGACACATATGGAACGGAGTATTGCTTCTTATACTCCCCCCCCCCATCCCATTTGAAAGTTTCGTTATGCAATTTTTTGTTGTCCCATTAGAAAGTTTATTTTTTTCGTTTCACTTTATATCACATCAAACCAATGCCCCACCCCCAAATTTAAATCACCTCCATTTCTTCTACTTTTTATCACTTTTCAACCCACCCCACCACTTTTCAATCACTATTCCCTTTCACTTTTTGGTCACATCGAGGCTCAATATAACCTTCTTACACTCCAAATGGTGTACTCCATTTGTGTACAGTTCTTTCTCACCATACATTTTTTATATACTCCGTATTTATTATTATTTTTTTAATACAGAATGGGCCATTTTCATTTTTGTATTAAATTTTCTCAATTTTTTTCCTTAACCGACACTAAGTATGAAATGGAGGGACTAACCATCATTTTGAGCAACCAATGTATACTCTGTAGCACATGATTCAGCACATTTCTTTTCGATTTAAATAACTTTTCTTTAGGACAAACTATAGAAATTCTTCTAGGACAAATCTGACCATGTCTTGAATTACTTTCTTAATCAGCTCAAATAATTCAGGAGACACCATTTCTGGCTATTTATTGCACCAAATATATGGCATAAACATTACTCTTTCTAACCAGATAAAGAAATGGAGTATTACAAAGAAACATATCCTTTTGTGGTTGGTCACACATGTAAATATTTGAATCGATCGGACTTGATGTCTTGATTCTCGTAATTTCTTTGCTGTCACTTGCTCAGCATTTTATGCATTCAAAGTCTTCTTGACCCTCCCATTCACATGCCACAAACAATTATTATCCTTTTCATCAAATTTACAACCCCTCCCCCCCTCTTACTTCCCCGTGAAAAAACAAAGTCCCCATTTTAGCTTCTTCTTTGATCCTACCTCCTGCAACATTGCTTCATTAGCTCTGCAAAAAGAATAGAAAACAACAATGGCAGATAAGAAAAGTCAAGGAGATGACGGAGACCTCAATTTATCAGAAAATGGTGACAGATCAGATTCTGAGTATGAGGAAGACGAGAGTATGTATGAAGAAGAGGGCGATGGCGACTATTATGAACAAGAATCGGGAGAGTACCGTCAATGGCCTCAAAGTTTCAGGTGTGTCTATGTAAATCTGCACTCTATATGCTTTATATTTATGCAAACAAATGTGCACAATCTATATGGGAAATGATTAGATTAACAAGTTTGTACATTAAAAATTTACATCAATGTGAAGCCCTAAAGGGTAGTGCATTTTTCAATTGGGACCCAGATTGATGTGAAAGTAGTGAGACTGGTAAAACTGGCCCGGACAGGTCCCGTACCGGTCCGGTCCCCTATCCTAATATTTTGCTTATTTGGTCCGGTCTAGACCGGTGGGCCAGTGAAAATTATTATTTTTTGATAAATATATTTTTTGATAAATATATTTTTTGATAAATATATATTTTGAATTAGTTTTATAATACGAATTACAGTTTTTGAACTTTCTCAGTTTTAATGGTATACGGAGTATTCACTTTAAAAATTAAAATTTTATTTGATGTTATATTTTTGTTTCTCATATTTTATTTTAGAAAGAGTCTAATTTAATATAATATACTTCCTTCGTCCCATAGTATTCTTCTAGTTTGACGAAATTTAATCATCAATTAAATAATACTCCCTCCGGTCCCCAAACCTTTCCTGTTTTGACTTTTTTGGTCAAACAGTGACACTCTTTGACCACAAATTGTGAGAAAAGTATATTTAACTATAATATAAATTCAATATAATTGGGTTCATCTTAGTATATATGTTTGATATATCAAATTTTATATCATCTATTTATTTAGATTATGTTTAATTTATGGTCAAAGAGTGTTACTGTTTGACTAAAAAAGTCAAAACACGAAAGGTTTTTAGGACCGGAGGGAGTAGTATATTAATACAAAAACAACTTTATTAGATTTATCATGCAGAAAACTTTCACAAAATCATAATATTGTATCAATTTGCAATACAACTTTTATTTAATTGACTATCAAAGTTTACCCATTTGACTGAAAAAATCAAACTGAACAAACTCTCTGGAATGCAGAGAGTATAATTCTCATGATATCTAATGAAATTTATTATTGAAATTGGCAGTTTTTGTTAGATTTAATCGTATTGTTTAATTCCTGGCCATAAGCTAGTTAGTTTAGATTTAAATTTTAAAAATAAAAGGGACAGTTTTTGGGTAGGTAGTTATTTCTGGAAGTTATAGGTAGTTATTTCTAGATAATGTATTAGTTAGTAATAGATGTGTTGATTAGTACCAATAGTTGTGTTGGTTGCTGTCTATAAATACTCCAGGAACATAGAATTCCTGTATGTAGTTCACAATTAAAAAATCAGAATTCTATTCTGCATTTGATTTGTTCTTCCTATTATTTTTTCTAACAATTGGTATCAGAGCGTGTGCGATCAGCCTCAAGGAAAGGGAGATCTGCGAGATCGTACAACGGAGCATTAGAGACTTCCTTGACAACAGATCAAGATTCTTCGACAAGATTCTTCCTTGCCAAGGACGAAAATAGCAGGTGGCTAGTTTTTTCGTTTGGCAGAAGGATTCCAACCAAACGGCGTGGGAAAAACGAATCACCGGGGTAGCTTTCGTTTAGTAACTTGGAAGACGGAAAAACAGGGGCTTGTTTTCTGGTTGGGGGTCGATTGCAGGTGGCTTACGACCCAGGAAGGAATCAAAGTCTAAGAATTTTGTGAAAATTGTCAAAGGAATTAAAGTCGTGCAATGGAAGACAATAGACAGATTGTGACTACAAGGGAAAATAGTTCACTATCTTTTACGGTTCCAATTCTAACTGCTACAAACTACACTATTTGGGCCGTGAAGATCAAATCAATTTTTAATGTTAATGGGATTTGGGAGGTGATCGAACCAGGAATAGAAATCGATCCAAAGAAGAACAATATGGCAATAGCATATCTGTTTCAAGCTTTGCCGGAAGAGATCGTGTTACAAGTTGCTCAGTTTACTGAAGCAAAAGAAATTTGGGATGCTTTGAAGACTCGCTTCGTTGGTGTTGACAGGGTTAAAGCGGCGCGATTACAGGCACTTGAATCAGATTTTGAGACTCTAAAGATGAAGAACAATGAGTCACTTGATGATTTTGCTGGTAAAATTAGTCAACTTGCAACACAAGCAAACAACCTTGGGTCTGCATTTGAAGACAAAAGATTGGTTCGAAAGCTTTTGGGTTCTGTGCCTGAAAAGTTCATACAGATCGTTGCTGCAATTGAACAGTTTGCTGACATTAACACAATGTCGTTTCAAGAAGCGGTTGGAAGATTGAAAGCATTCGAGGAACGCATCACAAAGCCAACTGAGGAAGGAGATACGCATTGTAAACTACTATTCACTAAAGGTGATGGAAAAGAGAAGGTTCAGGAGCAAAAATGTGAGCATTGTGGATGCTGGAGCTCAAACCGAGAAGACTTTGGACGTGGCCGAGGTAGAGGTCAGGGGTCCCGGAAAGGTCAGGATGGTGGTCGGTTTCAGCGGGATAAGAGTCACATTAAGTGTTTCAAGTGCAATGAGTTAGGACATTTTTTGAACGAATGTCCAAAATGGGATCAAAAGGAAGACATTGCAAATTTGATTGAAGATGATGATGAACCAACGTTACTGTGAAGATTGGTGTGAACAAACAACGATTAGGGGGGTGATTGTTAGATTTAATCGTATTGTTTAATTCCTGGCCATAAGCTAGTTAGTTTAGATTTAAATTTTAAAAATAAAAGGGACAATTTTTGGGTAGGTAGTTATTTCTGGAAGTTATAGGTAGTTATTTCTAGAAGTTGTATTAGTTAGTAATAGATGTGTTGATTAGTACCAATAGTTGTGTTGGTTGCTGTCTATAAATACTCCAGGAACATAGAATTCCTGTATGTAGTTCACAATTAAAAAATCAGAATTCTATTCTGCATTTGATTTGTTCTTCCTATTATTTTTTCTAACAGTTTTTAGTGTTTTAAAATTGACAGTTTTTAGTGTTTTACCTTGCTACAAGTTAGTAATTGTACACTTGTGAATTGGACTCTGTTAATGAGAGGGATTGAATTGTACGGAATACTTCAAAAAGAAAATTAAAAATAAAAAACAAATCGGTCCTGGTCCGGTTTTAGGCTAATTCGGTCCGCTCTTCGGTCTTGGGAATCACCCTTATTCGGTCCCGGTCCAGTCCGGGTTCGGACCAATGCTAGTGGCTACAAGGTTGGAGATTAGTTATGAGTCCATATGTTATATGTAGACCATAAAATTTGAAAAATGTTAAGCTGGGATACAGATGTGAAGGGACAAACTCTGTTAAAAATCTAGAGTTGATTGAGGCTTACTTATTTTGAGAACATATACATCTACTGGTCCATGGAGCTTCATAAAATTCTGGCAAAGTTTCATCACTTTCATGTATAAGGCCGTTTATCATTAATTTGTAATACTGATGCTTTTTTTTTATATATAAAAATTTACAGGGAAACAACTGATATCTTTACAATTACTGCATCTCCTAGTATGGCATCCTGCATAATGCGTGGAACTAGTATTTTGTCAAGTCCTGACATCCACGGTGTTAGTACCTTGGATGCTACCCAGAGGGTTCCTTTGTTGGCCGACCTTGAAAATGCATTTCAAAGAAGAGACCCAGAAAGGTCTTCAAAATTACCTACACGGTTACAACCTTCATATTTACAGAAGTCGACATTGTATAAGCAACAAACTGCAGAACTTCCCATCAGCCATGGATGTACACTAGTACAAACTATTTTCAATGGTTAGAATCATCAATTTTCAAACGTTTCGTTTGTAGAAGTTTTATAGCTTAAATGATTTGATGGTTGAGAGGCTCTGAGTTTCCAACACCTAAAAGAGCACGTGTCTGGTGCACAAAAAATTGATGTCTTCACCCATGGGGTGTAAATGAGATGGTGCAAGCGTCTTCCATGTGGGATTACTTTGCTATTCTTGAAGTCATCATTACTGACAGTGTTATTCCTAGTTGACTGACATAGAAAACCTATGGTTAGAGAATAAAATTGAAGTCTTCCTTTTCGTATTTATGCCTCTCTTTTATTAGTAGTATCAATCTTGTTTTTTTGGAATGGTATGTGGGGCTCAAAAGAAGAAGTGCAAGTCTTATTGTAAACTTCCAAAAACATAAGTTGGCGAATTGCCTTTTTTAGTTGGTTTTGTCTTTGAAGAGGATGTCTACTATGGAACAGGCATAAATGTTATGGCGGGTGTGGGACTTCTGTCAACACCATTTACTGTGAAGGAAGCTGGTTGGGCAAGTTTAGCAGTGCTTCTTCTTTTTTCTGCTGTCTGTTGTTATACAGCCACTTTGATGAGGAGGTGCTTTGAAACCAATTATGGTATCTGGACCTTTGCTGATATGGGAGAAGCTGCATATGGGAAATGGGGGCGTATATTAGTATCTGTAAGTAGACTGCTATAAATGTTTAGTTCCTTCAATGTATATTACGGATTATTTCTAAACATATATAGAATTTGTTTATAAATTGAAGTGTCAGGGTTGACTTATTATATATATGAGTGCTTTAAGCTATATCAATTCTTGTTTTGATGCAGATCATTTTGTACTTGGAGCTATATGTAAGGGTCACTTTTCTTAATTACTACCAACCTTTGTAGATAGTTGGGTTAAATTTGACAACAACCTAATCTCTAACTAACATGCTTTTACCATACAGTCGACTTGTGTGGAATATGTTATTTTGGAGGGTGATAATCTTACCAGGTTATTCCCTGGAGCACAGATTGATTTGCCTAATTTCAACTTAGATTCTCAGCCCTTATTTGCAACCCTTGCGATTATTCTCATTGTACCAACACTATGGTTCAAGGATTTACGGCTGATCTCTTATCTTTCAGGTCCAATGTAGTATCCTTTTTTCCCTGGATGCAACCCTCTCTACTTTACATTTTCTAATAGAAGGATCTACTGTTCCATCTCACAATATTATTCTCTAATTTTTAATATTTTTTTTGTTGCAGCTGGAGGGGTAGTTTCAACGGTCATTGTGGTTCTTTGTCTTCTACTTCTTGGTACAGCAGAGAAGGTAGGGTTTCACCATACAGGTCAAGTGGTCAACTGGAGAGGTGTCCCTTTTGCCATTGGTGTCTTTGGTTTCTGCTTTAATGGGCATACTGTTTTCCCAAATATTTACCATTCCATGTCTGATAAAACCCAATTTACAAGGGTTTTAATTATATGGTACGAACAGCAGATTATATCTTTTACTTTTTTCGGGGGGGGGGGGGGTAAACTTTTAATATGCCTGCGTAATGCTGTTTTGGATCATTGTGCAGTTTTAGTTTGTGTGTTCTTATGTATGGTGGAGCTGCAGTCATGGGATTTATGATGTTCGGTCCAGATACACTGTCACAGATTACTCTGAACATGCCTAACCATTCAGTTCTTTCTAAAATTGCAGTTTGGACAACAGTGTGTACTATTTTGCTTTTGTCTTCTTTTCTACTTTACCTTCTTTCTGAGTTCCAAGAGTTAGTGCAATACTATTAATAATCTAATACCGCGATGATCACTTTATGCAGGTTATGCTCCCACTCTTCAAATATCCTTACCTTTAGTAAATCCACTAAACTCATGGTTGTTTTTGTACACGGTTGCTTAGTTACTCAGTTCAACTCCTTAATGCTTCCCAAATATGCTTTATTAATGAATCCATGTGCTCGGAGTATAGAAGAACTGCTGCCTAATGGTTTGTCTGGTAGCTTTTGGTGTTTCATTCTGCTAAGGACTATCCTGGCAATCTCTACCCTTTTTGTGGCTTTCTTGGTGCCCTTTTTTAGTAAGTAATATCGTGGTTTCTTCTTCATCTTCCCTATATTATCAAACTTGTGACTTATGCTCCCTATGAACCTCTTGTTGCCTAATCAGTAATCTCTACCTGTGTGATAAATTTTCTTGTAGAAAGTAATGCAGCAAGGTTATACCTTACAATTTTGCAAAGTAACTTGATGATGTACTAGTTCTGTCTGCCTATTTCAAAATCAAATTAGTACTTTTGGTTTGTTCAAACATTCTTTTTTCCTAATAAAAGCATTTCCCTTGTCTTATCTCTGAAAGAATGGTACACAGGGGGTTTGAAGGTCTTTTTTTTCTGTTTTATTCAAGGATAATTATTTTATTAATAAAAAAAATAGGCCGGGTCATACCAGAAGACCCAGCTATACATAAAATTGGTTCATACATTCAACTATTTGTGTTTGGCTCTCACATTTCATTAAACTTAGAAGAATCAGATGTTAGTATGGTAAGAATCCTGTGTTTTTGTTCATTTTAACTTGATTCCTAATTTAAGGAACATCTATGGGACGCATTCACATGCAGGTACGATGATGGCTCTTGTTGGTTCTCTTTGTAGTGTACTTATGGTAAGTATACCATCCTTCTTATGCATTGATAAAAAAAAACTTTCTTGTAACACATTCTTGCATGAGGCCGTGAGAGAGAAAGGAGAAAGACCAAAATAATCATTCCTCGAACCTGGAAAGGGTCTTTATTAATGGTGCATGGCGTTTCGTGGTACACTAGTTTATTGTGTATTTAATTCTCGCACATATTTTTCTATTTTCTAAAGACTTATACCATGTTTGGTTCAAGGAATTTGAAAGGGAAAGAAAAGAAAATGAGGAAAAAATATTTTTTCTGTTTGGTTAGAAAGTAAAAGAAAAGAAAAGCGGAAGGAAAAGAAAATGGGAGTAGAAATGAACTGAAAAAAAAAAAGAAAACCACATTCATTCATTTTAGGTGCGGAAAAGGAGAGAACTTTCTTTTCTTTTCCTTTCGAATTACACGAACCAAACATAGTGTTAGTCTTTGTTCGGGACAACTAGATCAAAGATAAAAATGAAATGAGGGTAGATGTAATGAATGTACATGGAGTGCTAGATGAAATGAATATACATGTTTGACAAAATTAGATGAAATGATATATGAGAAATGTAAAGTGACCTAAAAATATATAAATTTAATAACTAAAAAGATATTGTTTGAGTGAAAATACAAACGAGGTAGCTTTTCGTGTATTTGATGGTATATTGAATTAGTACAATAATTCAGCCACAGTCTAGATGAAGTGTCATTCCAAACATAAACTTAGTTATGAACTAGTGGTCTTATTCTTTCCAATCTCCGCGTGCATAAACATGTATAAACACAAAAGAACAATGTTTTTACGAATCTTATTGTGTAAACAAACTTAATACTCATATAATCTGGTTTTGCTGCAGGCTGTTATAATGCCATCATTGTGTTTCTTGAAAATTGTAGGCGACAAGGCAACTAACAGACAGGTAAAATTGTAGTAAATAGGTTGCATGCAAACATCTCACTGCCCCCACAAAACCAACAAAATTTTAGATTCTAATGTTTTGTGATAATTAAACATCCATGTTCAGGTCAAGATTAGCATTGCAATTGTAATATTGGGCATAATCTGCTGTGCCGTTGGAACTTACAGTTCGGTTTCAAGAATGCTGCAGAAATACTGATACAGATCAATGTTGCCAATTGCCTGCCGTTCTCTTCTTCATGGCTGGAGCTTTTCTCGTCCACAGATTCAAGCGTTTGAGTATTTGTTTTGAGACCCATGAATTTAAGTGTCCTTAGGGGCTGTTTGGTTCAAGAATTGACAAAGTACTTGAGGAATAGTATTACATTGCTGATAAGTAGTAACCCATTATTGGAAATGGTAATGAGTTGGTTAAAACTTTTGAGTGTTCAAAACCAGACCGGGGATCAAACCGGTCAAGGCGTTTGTTCATAAGTTCACTGGTCGAACCAGTGGTTCAATACTTCAAGGGATCGAACTAGTAGTTCAAAAACATTTCTTAGAACACTATTTTCATGCAATATCAATATCTACACTACATATTAAACTTATATAACAAAATGCCATACTTAAATTTTAAATAATGGTATAATTTAATTTTAAAGAAAGTAAATTTCCAAAATACTCTTTTCTAATAAGCCATATTCCCGTTCTCAATAAGCAATAAATACGAATATGATATTCCATAATTGAAATATTTTTTTACGATATTTCTCAATAAACAATAGTTGCCTAGATGGTACTTTATAATTGAAATTCTTGCCATGATAATCTTTCGAAAATTGGTGTCAATACAATTATAACCCCAAAGGGGTGAGTTGGAAAAATATTTAATTAAAAAAAGAATATTTTGAAAACTTGCTTATACTTTAGATAATGAAAAATAGAGTAAATTTCATAAAAGGTCCCCAGTTATAGGTCGTTTTACATATTTAGTCCCTACATATCAAATATTACTAATTTAGTCCCTAATTATTATATCATTTTTCACGAATGGTCATTTGTTAACATTTTTGTTAAGAACATAAATAAAATTGTATATTCATAGTTCTCTCTCTCCTCAATTAAACTTCCTCCCTCCTTTCGTACTCTTTCTCAAACTCGTCGCTGAGTTTGAAGCTCTAAACCCAAAACTGAAATGATCACTCCTCTCTCAATTAGTAGCTTCCTGGTGGAACTTAAAATCAAAATCAATAAGCTTTATCGATGAGTTTTATCGGTTAGTCTTAAAAAATTTGAAAAGAAGATAAACATTAAAACTATCCATGAAGGTTACTGGTTTCAAATTTGGGTTCCACCAGTTCGACAAACAATTGAGAGAAGATTGATAATTTTGGTTTTGGGTTCAAAGATTCAAACTCAGCGACGAGTTTAGAAAAAGAGTGCGAGGGGAGGGAAGAAGCTTAATTGAGGAGAGATTGGAGTGTGAATTTACAATTTTATCCACGTTCTTAACAGAAATGTTAATAAAGGACCATTTATGGAAATAAATATAATAATTGGGGACTAAATTAGTAATATTTGATATATAGGGACTAAATATATAATTGCGGACCTTTTATGTAATTTACTCAATTAATTAAAATGAGTTGGAAGTTATTGAAAAAATTAGAAGAAAAATTTAAAAAGTTTAGAATTTAAAAATGGGAAGCAAAAGAGTCCAAGTCATACACGGTGTAATTATTGATTTCCAGTTTTATTTGGGTCGTTTTACGGACTTTTACTCCTTTTGGGCCATTGGGGTCCTTTTACATGGAGAAATTGTGGGACGGTCGGTAGAAAGAAAGGTAAAAGAGAAGGGCAGAGTGGGGAATATAGCGTAGTTTCGAGGCAAGAGAGAAGCAGAAGAGAGTCGAGTGCGTGACTGACACCACCCCCACCCCCACCCCATGTTGCTCCGATCCATGCGCTCTTCTCTCTCTTTCCCTTGAGCATCCATTCCTCTCTCTCTCTCTCTCTCTCTCCCTCTCCCTCTGCAAAACACAATGGGGCGATCTCAGGCTGTCCTCCTCACCCAGGCGGGGAAAAGTTAGGTGAAAATCATAGGAATATGTGTTTTCAGAAGATTTACAGCGCCATGGTTGTGAATCTCCGCCTCAGATTGTGATATACGCACACGTTTTCTTCGTTTTATTGGGAAAGATTGCTTCTTTATTTGCTGTTTGGATATAGAAAAGAAATGTCTGAATTGGTGGCTCGGACAGGTCGGCACCAGCAGCGCTACGAGAAAGGGCATCGCCTCATAGCCGGGTACTCTTCTTTTTCCCTTCTCCCAATTCATCTCTCCATAAAAGGGCCATTGCTAGTTTGGGATTTTTATCATTGTTATTTTTTGCTTGGGTAATTATATATGGAGTATATAGTATTCTTTGTGAATGGGGTTTGCTTAGCTTGCTTCATCTGAAGGGTGGTAAAGACGTTGTTGCCGATAGCCATAAGGTCGAAAAGATTCCATCTTTGCCATTCCTTTCTTCCAAAATGGGTTTTGGTAGAGGGTTGACCTGCTAGAAGCCAAGGGCCGAGTTAACTAGTTTCTCAGTTAGGATTCCTGATATGGGAATTTGCTTCCCATACCCACATCCGAGGATTTGGAGGATTAAATTAAGAGCATTACATCAAGGGAGAAAGATAAAAATTGGAGTAAAACACATGGAAAGAACCAAAATAGGACATTCATATCTTTATCCCAAAATAGGACCTATAATGCATTAATACCAAGATATAATACCAAAAAAGACCATGAAATATTAATATGCAATGTCACATTATCAAAGTGCAGTAGTCCTATTTTGGGATTAAAACATGTTACTCCTATTATGGGGATAAGGAATATGTTTTGCTCTTATTTTGGGTATTTTCTTTTAAATTAAAGCTCTTTGGTATACTATAACATTGTCGAGTTCCATATGAATTTGATCATTGGCAGCAATGAGTAATTGTGTGTTGTAAATGCGTTATAAGGCCAGGTATGACAATTTTAGTTGTAACATATATGGTTTGTTGATGATCCATTTCTTTCTTTCCAGGTGCATTCCCTATAGATTTAGAAACACGGAAAAAAATGGCGGTGACACCTCAGAGAAAGTTGTTGAAGTGCTTATGATAAACTCAACTAGTGGACCTGGTCTCCTGTTTCCTAAGGTATGTATGAACGGCCGGTGCTCAATGCCATCCAACCAATATACTTTTCATGTGGAGTAATACAGCTTTGAGTTTTTCACTCTTTACCTTTCTGAAGACATTATTTTGAAGATGTTCTGAAGTTTGTTAATATATTTCGATCAATAAATTGAAGCCCTTTTATAGGCTTCCATCGAAATTATATCGTACAAAATTTAAATCTTCATTTAGTCTGCAGTGAAGTGAAAAAGGCAAGTGTAGCTGTTACATTTATGTGTAACAGCCACTAAACGATTTGAAGCCAATGCAGTTTCACATCCTTGTGTGCTTGCTGTTTCTATACCAGCACTAATGCTTTCACGTGTCTTCAATATATGTTTTGAATACGTATATATACATGTATATAGGGCGGGTGGGAAAATGATGAAACAGTTGAGGAGGCAGCGATGCGTGAAGCCATTGAAGAGGCTGGAGTTCGTGGAGAGATACAGGTTAGCTTCAACCATTTCTTGCATCTTTGTGTGTGTAAAATCTGGAACCTCACCATCTTTTGTGGTTGAAAAATGGAAAGCCACTGATTTGTGCATTATCATTCCACATGGGGTTGGGTCATGCGGGGTGTAGTGAGACAATTGGACAAGTAGGAGCAGTTATTTCCTGTCTCACTCACTGACTAGACAGATAGAGATAGATGACTTATGGACAAATAGGAGCAGTTGCTTCCCTCTCCCTCTCTCTCTCTCTCCTGGCCCCCACCACACTATTCTGTTAGGTTCTCTAGTGTAATGATACATACAATTGGACTTTATACCTGGGTTTGAAGGAAAATCAGTACAAAACTATTCTGCAAAAATCTTTCCTTTTTTGGGAGGAAGACATTTTCTTGATTTTACAACTTCTTGTGTGTGTGTGAGAAATCACCTTGATGGGAAAAGGAATAGGACTTTATAGAGATTGGGTCACATAGCATATAAACATTTCACAAAATTATAGAAGGAAGAGTTGAATCATCTTCTCTGCTTGTGTTTTTGAATGCTCAGCATTTCCTGGGGTACTATCACTTCAAGAGCAAGACGCTTCAGGACGAATTCAGCCCAGAGGGTTTGTGCAAGGCTTCCATGTTTGCTTTGCTGGTGACCGAGGAGCTCGATTCTTGGCCAGAGCAGAAGCACAGACAGAGAAGCTGGTTGGCAATTGCAGAGGCAGTGGGCCATTGTCGGCACCCGTGGATGCGCGAGGCCCTTGAAGACGGGTTCTTGAAGTGGCAACAGACCGGTTTCGTCACCAGCCAAGACACTGGTGATTGATTGTTTTGGACGCGTTTAAAAGCGAAGGCGATTGCATCACCCCTGCTGACATCAAGATCTTCCTCTCATTTGTTGGAATAAGACTCTTCTTGACTTGTGGCTTAATCTCTGCAAATATAGTTTTATCTTTTTGGTTTTCAAGCCCGTTTTTCGATGTTTTTTGCTCTACTTTAGTTGCTGATTATGGGAATATGAAGTGAAATTTTGTGGTTGTGGTAAGGGGTACAAGAGTAGAGAAACAATCAAGGCATGGTGATTTGGATTCACTCATCTAAAATTTCCCTGTTCTCAGTCATTTTTACCCTGCAACAGTTCACCCAAAACCAATCACACCAGCGTGTTAAACAACGAATTTCTCTTATAACTAGGGTTGCAATCACCATTTCCCTTATTGCAATTTTACTCTCGTCTTACCATTTACGCCCTTTACACTATGTTTGGTTTAGGGAATTCGAGAGGGAAAGGAAAAGAAAATGAAAAGAATTTTTTTTTCTTGTTTGGTTAAAGAGGAAAAGGAAAGAAAATTGGAAAGAAAAGAATTTAAGAAGGCAAAATGTACTATGAGGAGGGAAAAAACCAAATTCGTTCTATTTTAGTGAGGAAAATGAAGGAAAATCATTTTCTTTTCTTTTCTTTTCAAATTCCTTCAACCAAACAAAGTGTTAAGAAAAAAGAAACCCGTTTTCGTCCAACAAGTTTTGTCTTATACCACACTTTGGTCTTCTTTGGAAACAACGTTTTCGATTAGTGTTAGAGTTTTGGATAAAATTTTAATAAATTAATTCTGAAAACGCTAATACTAAAGCTAGTATCAAAAATGCTAATGCCAAATGGGCTTTTCTCAATTCTTTCCGTTGCAGTTGCTCTGGTCCACGATGATGACAATTTGCTGGGCAATGCTAGGGGTACACCAACATGGGGTACCCCAAGTCTACACCAAGCCAACACAGACACACACAGACACCAAATGTCTGTGCAACACAGACACTTTGTGTTTGTGTGTGTCTGTGTTGGCTTGGTGTACATTTGGGGTACCCCATGTTGGTGTACCCCTAGCTTAATTCCAATTTGCTTTCTCTCCAAATTTTGGTTTTGAGTAGATTCCCCGGTAGATATCAATTTGGATAGCTATTAAAGGTACCACTGTATAGATTAGTTCCGAATACGATATATAATGATTCATATAATTTAAAATTAAATTAATCTTTAAGGTACCACTGTATACTTCTTTCAGTAAACGTTTTTCATGTTTTTTTGTTTCTAATCAATTTCTCACCTTATTTCTTTTAGATTTGAAAAAGGAGGACATATTTCATCGGTAAAAAATGAGAATGGAGTTTTTCCACCAAAATCATTGTTATCATTCATCATATTTTTTAGTCAAAAAGGAGTTGAAAAAAATTGACGAGTGTTGCAAGAAATTTGAAAGAATTAAAAATTTTAGTTGGAAAATTTTGAAAGTAAAAAGTTAAGTACCAAAAAACAGAGCATAAACCAAAGCCCCCCACCCATATCACCCAAAATCTCGGTCAAGACCTCTAGCAGGTAGCATTGAGATTAGACCATACAATTGGGTTAATCCATTCGGTTTCGGTTTGCATTTGTTTTATACTCACTTCAAGTAGGTTTACTTAAGTTTCGAATAAATGTCAATTTACATAGAAATATCGATTCAAGTGGATTTTGATTTTGATAAATATCTATTTAAAAAGCTATCAGAGATACAAATATATAACTTAACTTTGGAAGCGGTAAATAATAAAGTTGTGCTTCAATGATCTTAAATTCCACATATAAAATGTGAACTCTCTCACAGCTTTTGTGAACCGATGTGAGGATCTTTTATTTTTTTTCAAAGAACTCAATTAATCTATGGTATTTGAAGTTTATAAAATGAATGTAAATCTTAGGACACTGGAAGAATTTACTTGAATAATGATTCCTATAATTTGAAGTTGCACTAGTGCTCTGTTATAAGACTTAATCAAACGTGCTTCTTTGTTCTTTCATCTATAAAAAAGTTCATGACTTTTTTTCTGATCTATTTCTCACCTTATTCCTTTTAGAGAAAAAAAAGAGGGCCCATATTGTATTCCATTAGTTTAAAAAAAATGAGAATGAAGTTTTTCCGCCAATCATTGTTATCACATCTCATTATTTTTATTCGAAAAGCAAACTTCATTATTTATTACTCTTTTCCTTCCCAAATAAACTTTTCACTCTTTTTTTTTTCGTAAAATAATTAAATGTTTCCCATCATTTCTCAATCTCTCTAATATCAGTAATATGTATATCTTCTTTACAAATTACAACCACACGGATGCATTTTGAACAACTGTTTTGGTCCAAATTACAATGTCAATGATGTTTGATATCTCCCCCCCCCC